CAACTTAATTTTAAAAAAAAGGACATTCTAACTCAGTACACCAGGATGAAAAGAAAGACAATATGGGTAGGGTGGTTTGGACCCACCTGTTGTAAGACAGTTCTTGAATAGGGGCTGTGGAAATAAGTATTTTCCCTTGCTGTCATTTCAATTTGTATTTTAGTTTCGATCTCCGCACACAAAATGACTGGACACTTGTTTGTAGAGTTGCTCAGTGTGTGTAAGACGCGCCATGACATGCTATGTAAAAGGCGAAAAGGAAACGAAGAAACGAAACACTTGTCTTCATAAACATAACTAATCAAAGTGGATGGGAACTGTCCAAGGTGAGAGAGAGGCAAAGCACTCGGGGATTCAGAAGATGAAACGCAGTATGTCTAGTCAGGAGAAAGAGAGAATGGGAGAGGAGGTTATTTTAGCTGGGCCTTAATTGTGTACACCAAACATGTTGAACCAGTGACTACCCAAGATTCTATAGTGGAAGTGTCAGGTGTGGAATGGACACTTACATTGCATTGTGGAAGGCTAGGGACAGACATTGCAGGAGCTATGCCTTGAAAGTCATGTTGGGATCAGACCACAAAGGACCTTGGAGGGCGGCTGAAGAGGACTTAGAATGTGCCTTCAGGAGAGTGAGGTGACTGGAGCTATGTGGAGGAGGACAGAGAAGTCAGCTGGACAAGCAATCGCGTGGGAGGGGTGGGCAGAAAGCCCTGGAGCACACTGAGACAGTCCCTATGGCTCTGAATGAGGATCTGGTCGAAGGTGGTGGATGTAGAGTCTGAGAAAAGAACTTTTAGAATTGGCTGCTGGTTGAATGTGAGAGGAGAGACCAGGGGCTTTGTAGATGGTTCTCTGAAGTCAGACATGGGGTCAAATCTCCATTGTGCCACACACTTAAAGTGGGATCTTCAAGCCTCAATTTCATCATCTATAAAGTGAAGTTCATAATCTTTAACTCAGAGAAGAGAGTACATTTAAAGAGTTTGGACACTAGGCAATAAATGAGCTCTCCATGTTATGTAATACTGATTGAGTGGCGGGTTAGTCAATGCCAGCACTGAAGCTTTAAGCCTCAGTGAATGGGAAATCTGGAGGCCTTCCTGACAGTGTAGTAGGCTACACCTCAAGCTGCCAACCACCAGGTCAGTGGACCGAACCCATCAGTCTGCTCCGAGGGAGAAGCATGAGGCTGTCTGATCCCCTAAAGATTTAAAGTCTCAGAAACCCAAAGGGGTAGTTCTATAGGGTCACTATGAATCAGAATCAACTCCATGGCAGTGAGTTTGGTGTTTTTTGGTTTTGTTTTTGGTTTTTTTATGGTTTGGTAAAAGAAACAAAAGGCAAGAGGAAGGCCTAGTATTAACAGTAAGACAAAATATTTCCTTTAGGACAGAAAGAGATGTCCAACTGTCTGTTGAAAGTACAGATTTTCTGGGAAATAGCTCACGTGTTGTAAAATTCACCTTTCAAAAGTTCAGTAGACTTTCATATAGTCAAGTATGCATTCAGTTTGTATATGCATAGTTAGTTTAAGGTCACCATTATGCTATTATGTAGCATGTCTAGTTTAGAACATTTTTATCAGCTCCTAAAGAAGCCCCTTACCACCAGTGGTCTCATCCCATTTCCCCTCCCTTTAGCCCAAGAAACCATCTGTCTGGATTTCAGTTAGGTGTCATCAAGACGGCTCTGACCCTTAGTGAGCGTGCACACAGCAGAGATTAAAACACTGCAGTCCTGCCCGATCCTCACTGTTGTTCCTGTGCCTGAGCACATTGATGCAACCACTCGGTCAGTCCATCTCATCAAGGGCCTGCCTCTTTGTCACCCTCACTCCACGTTACTAAACATGATGTCCTTCTCCAGGGACTGGTCTCCTGACCGTATGTCCAGAGTCTATAAAATGAAATCTTGCCATCCATGCATCTAAGGAACACTCTGGCCTTATATCTTCTAAAACAGAATGGGTTTTGTCCTTTCACCAGGCATGGTACTTGCAATAGTCTTCTACAGCACCGTGATTCAAATGTATCCATTCTTCCCGCTACGTTATTCAGTGTCCAACTTTCACATGCCTATGGTGCAGTGAGACTGCCATGGCTCAAGTCAGGCTCCTCTTAGTCTGCAACAAAACATCCATGCTCCTCATTACTCTAAATAGAGGTCTTGAGCAGCATATTTACCTAATGTAATATGTCTTTTGGGCTCTTGACTGCTGCTTCCATAAGCTTTGCTTGTGGATCCAAGCAAGACAAAATCTTTGACAACTTCAACCTTTCTCCATTTATCATGATATGTATTGGTTTAGTTGTGAGGATTTTTCTCTTCTTTACATTGACTTGTAACCCATACTGAAAGTTATAATCCTCTATCATCACCAGCAAGTGCTTCAAGTCCTCCTCACTTTCAGCGAGCAAGGTTGTATCATCTGCATACCGCAGGTTGTTAATAAGCCTTCCTCCAATCTGGTGTCGCACTCTTCATATGATCCAGCTTCTCTGAAGGATTAGAGGTCTGTCTTTGAGAGAAGTGATGTGTGAAGCTGATGCAGGAATGGGATTTACCAAGGATGAAACTGTAACGAGCCAAGAAAAATAACTTTGGAGAAGAGCTTTTTGAATGGACAAGTGATTAGCATGAAACAGAGAGTTCTCATCCTGGCCCCCTGTGGCCAGAATGATCAATGACTTTTCATATACTGTGATTTTAGGAGCAATCTGGGTTTTGGCCATTTGGTAAACACTGAGGTCAACAAAACTACCCACTGATTTGTCTGAAACTTGACTTAGTGTATAGTGAAAACACTGTATCTTTGTTTTAGCCTAATCAAACTAATTATCTTGAACTAACCTTTTAGAAAGGAGCCATTTGCCACAGGTAGCTAAGTAAAAATGTAAGTTATTTAAACTAAAACACAAAATGAAATTCACTCTGTTACACTCGCCACATTTCAGGAGCTAAATAGCCACATGTGGCTAGCAGCTGCTCCATTGGGCAGTGCACAGCTAGAGCATCCTTGCCTTCACAGGTTAGGTTGAACAACATTGTCTGGATGCTGTCGATAACTTGCAGGTTTAATAAAGAAAAGGATACTGCCCTGAAGGTTACTTGGAAATGGCAACATAGTTAATTTTTTTACTTTCTATTTTATTCTTGTGTTTTCATATCTCTACTATTGGCCGGCCAGAGCCGGGCCTTCACTAAGGGATTGGTGTTGATCCAGCATGGCCCACGTGTGTATGTCTGTCTTGTGGGACTCTGACAGCATCGCCAAGCTAAACTGGATTTGTTGTTGTTGTTGTTAGCTCTTAAGTCTTTCCTATGCTTAGACTCATGCTAGTTTTGTTGTTAGTTTCCATCAAATCCGTTTCAACTCCCGGTGACCCAGTGTGTGCAGAATAGAACTCCCAAGTTTTTCAAGGCTATGACCTTCAAATCTCCATCCTTCCACCCAGTAGCCCAGGGTGCAACCTCTTAGACCACCCAGAGACTTATCGTAATGCTGAAAATATAATTAATAACGCGAGAGCAAGTAATTGTATTGACAATGCTCTCAACTCCCTTACACACATCCCTTCTTGACTATTAAGAAGGCTGAGGCTTTCTATCCCCTTAAAGATTTATAGTCTTGGAAACCCACAGGACCATTCTACTCTGTCCTATAGGGTCACTGTGAGTCAGAATGTACTCAGTGGCAGTGAGGCGTTGTGTGTGTGTTTTGTTTTATTTAATCACGCCTAGTAAGCAATCCACAAAACTTTAAAGCTAGGACTATACGTTTCGCTTTCTTCCTATTGCTCTTGTAACAAATTACCACAAAACTGGAAACTTGAAACACATAAATTTATTCTCTTGACAGTTCTGAAAGTCAGAGTCCAAAATTAGTTTCACCATGCTGTGCCTTAGTTAACTGCAAGGTCAGTGGTCCAAACCCACTTGCCACTCCAGGTGAGAGAGATGAGGCTGCGTGCTCCAGTGCAAGAGCTATAGACTCAGAAGCCCTGTACAGGTGCACTATGAGTCTGAATCAGCTTGATGGCCCTGGGTTTGGTTGGGCTCAAGTCAAGGGGTTGACAGCCCTGGCTCCTCCTACAGAATTTAAGGGAAGAATGCTTTGCTTGGTGTTCTCACCTTCTAATAGCTACCTATCTTCCTTGGCTTGTGGCCCTATTATTTTCACATTACTCAGCATATATTAGCACATTACCCTTTTCTCGTCATCATTAAATCTCCTCTACCTTCCTCACATAAAGACACCTGTGATTACAATTAGGGCCCATCTGGATCATCCCAAATTTCCTCTTATCTCAAAACCCTTAACTTCATCAAAGTTGCCATATCTCTCTTGCTATCTAAGGTAAACATTCACAGTCTCCAGAGATTAGACGCCATCGTTATTCAAAGTGTTTTAATGACAGAACATTTACCCCTGCTGTTGTTACGTACCATTGAGTCCCTTCCAATTCATAGTGATTCTGTGTACAACAGAATGAAACACTGCCTGGCCCTGCACCATCGCACAGTTGTTGTGTTTGAAACTATTGTGGCAGCCCATCTTGTTATCAGCCCATCTTGTTGTCGGCCCAGCTTGTTGAGGTCCATCCTCTTTTTCACTGTCCCTCCACCTTAGCAAGCATGGTCCTTCTCCAGGGACAGATCTTGCCTGACAGCCTGACCCAAGTACCTAAGACAAAGTCTCACTAGCCTTGCCTCTAAGGAGCATCCTGGCTGTACTTCCTTCTTCCAAGACAGCTTTGGTACTTTCCGTGCTCGTCACCAGCATCATCATTCAAGTACATCAATTCTTCCTCCTCCTTTTTCAGTGTCCGACTTTCACTTGCATGTGAGGTGACTGAAAATGCCGTGGCTTCGGTCAGACACGCCTTAGCCCTCACAGTTACCCCTCCTAGGCTTAATTTAATTATTTATCATTTGGGATTAAAGTTTAGCAATTCAAATGAAAACCTAACGTGTTTGTTATTCCTTGTGTTGCACAGATAATAAAATGTCTGATCATGGCAGTGACACCTTAGCCCCTGGAGGCCAAGCCGAAATGACAGAGACGCCCAGCGATGATTCCTTACCGGCTGATGCTGAAGGGTACTGTGAGTCAGCTATGATGTTGAATGAGCCAACGGCAGCCGACCCCACAGCAGATGTGTGTGACCATGCAGCTGTGGAGAGTGCAGAGACTGCTGACACGGGTCACCCTGAGCAGCCCGGAGAGTCCCCCTTCCACGGAGAGGTGACTGAAGACACGCTTGCCGAGTGCATCGACTCTGTCAGCCTTGAGGCAGAACCTGGATCCGAAATTCCCCTGAAGGAACAGAATCATCCGGTAGGAGTGGTTCCTTCATCCACTTCATCCTGAATTCTTACCTATAGGTACCACATACAGAGCTTTGGCTAAAGTCTTGCTGATGGGGCTTAAGAGCTCAAAATATAGTATGTCATCATCCCTGTCAGCAAAAGAAAAAAATGTGTGTGTGGTGAGAGAAGACACAGTCGGCAGTATTTACTTACAACAGTGACATGTGTATCCTTGTATTCTTATTGTTCATAATACTGTTTTTGTTGTGAGCGGCATCAAGCCAGCTCCAGCTCAGGATGGAGACAGGGTGGCCGAGGGAACCTTGACTCAGTTGTGCCTTGTTCAGGAGCGTCGCCATGTTTACACACATTGTTGCAGCTCAGGTGTCAATCCATGCCACTGAAAGTTTCCCTCCTATTTGGGGGCCCTGTGCTTAATGAGCAAGACCCTTGATGAGATGAACTGACCTGGGGGCTGGCATGAGGGGCTCAAACATAACAGCTGTGAGGATGGCGCAGGACCAGGGGCGTTGTGTTCTGTTGTGCAGAGGGTTGTTATGAGTCGGACCCAACTTGATGGCACCTAACGACAACGACTACTTTCCCAACCATGCTGTCCTTTTCTAAGGATTGGTCTTTCCTGGTGATATGTCCGAAGTAAGCAAGTTGAAGTCATGCAGTCCTAAAGAACATGCTGGCTGTCTTTCTTCTACGGCTCATCTGTCCGCTCTTCTGGCACTGCCCAGCGTAGTCATCATTCTTCTCCAGCACGATAGTTCAAAGGCTTTAATTCTCCCGTCTTCCTTTTTTCTATTTAACGTCCACATGTAGTGGCATCAAAGCCGAACTTGTTGCTACCTAGTGGAGTCCTACTCATAGTAATCCTACAGAACAGAGTAGAACTGCCCCCAGCTTTCTAAGGCTGATGTGGTGGCGAAGTGCCAGGTTGCTAATGGAAAGGTAGACAGTTTGAACCCACCAGCCATTCCATAGGGGAAGGATATGGCAGTCTGCCTGTGCAAACATTTACAGCCTTAGAAACCCTATAAGGCAGTTGTACTCCGTCCATCAGGGTCCCTGTGAGTCAGAATCGACTTGGCAGCTGTGGCTTTTGGTCACCTTTAGTGAAGCAGAAAGCAAACATTCAGAACACGGTTTTATCTGCGCATGCATCTTCAAGAGCCCCAAGCAGAGTCCGTTCCTCCTCCTCCTCAGTTCTTCCCCCTGATTCTCTCGGGAATAAGACAGGCTTCCATCCCCTGATTATGGGTCACAGCAATACGACCGTCTAAACTGGGTTCTCCTGGCATGTTTGGTAAAGTGGAGGGCCAGTCAAAGTAAGGGAAGCCCCAGTGAGGTGGACAACAGTGAAGCCAATGGGCAGGAAGACAACACAGGACTAGCCAGCGTTTTGTTCTGTTGTAGATGGGTCACTGAGTCAGAGCCCACTGGATGGCAGCTGACAACACAACGGTGTCCAGCATCAATCGATGAAGCCAGTTACGGAGAAGGGGAAAATCCCCAAGTGTTCACTGAATCATCACTAAAAATGTTCTCAATGGAAAATGTGGACTATCACTTGTTGATTCTTTTCATTCCCCCCAAACAACTCTAAACTCACTGTCAGTGAGTTGATGCTGACTCATAGCGACCCTACAGGATACGGTCCAACTGCCCCGATGAATTTCCCAGACTCTACCTCTTCGTAGGAGTAGAAAGTCCCATCTTTCTCCTACAGAGTGGCTGGTGGTTTCAAAGTGCTGATCTTGCAGATATCACAGCCCAACTCCATAACGACTATGCCACCTGGGCTCCATCAGAAAGGGAAAAGTAGAATATTTATGAGACATAAAATGACTCTCCTGGGAGCCAAAGAGGAAGGAGCACCGGGCAGTTCACACTGGTGGCAGATTTTCTTCCTCCTGCCAACTGTCGAGTGTTCACTCCAGTTCTGTGTACTCCCCCCTTTTACGCCTTCCCTGACCTGTCTGTTTGTTGGAGTGCCGTGGCTTTGTGTTGCTGTCATTCTGCAAACTATGCCACTGGCATTTGCAAAACCTGCAGGGTCATCCATGGTGAACAGGTGTCAGCAGGCCTTCCAGCCTAAGAACAGGCAAGAAAGAAGAAATAGGCAGTCCGATTCTAATGGATTAACCGCTGAGACAGTGCTGGAAGATGAGCCCTCAGTGGGCTGGCACTCAAAACATGACTGGAGAAGACAGAGCTGCCACCTTCTTAGTGACACGGCGCGGGCCAGGCGTTCAGGACTCTTGTTTGCTGATGGCATATGTGTCAACATGTGAAGAAACAGCTGCAGGTACCCACTAATAAGCTGCACATTGAATGTACCAAAGTATCAATCTAGGAAAATTGGAAGTCATCCAAAATGAAATAGAACACATAAAGGTCAATATCCTAGGCATTAGCAAACTCGAATGGACTGGTATGGGCCATTTTGCATCAAACCGTTATGATTTATTATGCCTTTAGTGACAAATTCAAGAGCAATAATAACACATTCATCATCTGAAAGAACATTCAAGATCTAGCTTCGATTACCATGGTGTCAGTGGTATGATACTATCTATACACCTGCAAGGAAGACCAGCTAACACAACTGCTGATTCAAACCTACACACAAGCCACTAAAGCTAGCGATGAAGAAATTGACTTTTACCAATTTTTTCAGTCTGATCTAGATCAAGCATGCGATCAGGATGCATGATAATTACTAGAGAACCCCCCACTTTGGAGGAAGAAGCCGCTGAACACCTTATGCATAGCTTGGAAGCATTTTCAAAGACTGAAAGCCTAAACAAAGACAACAGAACATTGTCCAAGATAACTGCTGGCAGATGGCCCCCTCAAGTCTGAGAGCATTCAAATGTGAATGAGATGGTTTCTTGGTGGGGAGTCTACCATGGGGGTGGCTTGAGTCTGGTAAAGCCTGTGAGAGTGGAGTCTCTGAGGTCTTCCTTTGCTGATAGGGCATGACAAACATCTGTATTGGAAGAAGAAAGCCCAGAGTGCTCCCTAGAGGCAAGGAGGTAAGACTTCTTATGTACTTTGGACCTATTTCAGGAGAAGGACATCGTATTTGGTGAAGTGGAGGGGCGGTGACAAAGAAGGCCCTTGATGAGAAGGACGACACAGTGGCTGCATTAATGGGCTCGGACGTAGGAACAATTGTGAGGATGGGGCAGGGCCATGCAGTGTTTCGTTGTGATGTATTATGGGCCAGAACTGACTCGATGGCACCTAACAACAACTCTTTTTTTTTTTTTCCCCAAATCATTTCATTGGGGGCTCATACAACTCTTATCACAATCCATACATCCATCCATTGTATTAAGCACATTTGTACATTTGTTGCCATCATCATTCTCAAAACATTTTCTTTCTACTTGAGCCCTTGGTATCAGCACCTCATTTTCCCCCTCCCTCTCCCGCCCTCCCTCCCTCATGAACCACTGATAATTTATCTTTTTTTTTTTTTTTTTTCATGTCTTATACTGTCTGATGTCTCCCTTCACCCACTTTTCTGTTGTCTGTCCCCCAGGGAGGGGGTTCTAGGTAGATCATTGTGATCGGTTCCCATTTCTCCCCCACCTTCCTCTTCCCCTCCTGGTATCGCTACTCTCATTATTGGCCCTGAGAGGTTTATTTGTCCTGGATTCCCTGTGTTTCCAGCTCTCATCTGTACCAGTGTACATCCTCTGGGCTACCCGTATTTGTAAGGTAGAATTGGGGTCATGATATTGAGGGTGATGGAGGAAGCATTAAAGAACTAGAGGAAAATTGTATGTTTCATCAGTGCTATACTGCACCCTGACTGGCTCGTCTCCTCCCTGTGACCCTTCTGTAAGTGGATGTCCCATTGCCTACAGGTGGGATTTGGGTCTCTGCTCCATACTCCCCCTCATTCACAATGACATGATTTTTCTAACAACAACTCTTAATGGGAGTAGAAAGCCTCCTCTTTCTCCTGCAGTCTGGCTGGTGGTTTTGAACTGCTGACCCTGTGGTTAGCAGCTCAACTCACAACCACTATGACAGCCTAGCTCCTCATTCCAAGTTAGCACCCTCTTCATTTGGGACAGGATGAAATCTTTCTGATCCTCTATTCATGTCAGAGTAGAAAGTCTCTATAATAGTGTGAACGGTCTACAAATTCTGACCACCTTTAATCTCACCATCGAGAACCTTTTCAGACATTTACAATGCTCGCCAACAGCCCACTGTGTTTGCCAATTAAAATCTATTTCTGCGCCCTCAGAACGCTGATTGCGAAGCGTCGGGTGTGGGTGGAGATACAGATGGTAGAAATGCTCAGAATCACTGCCTGTGAACTATGACTAGATAGAATGCCAGCTGACCGCCCCCAACGTATGTGTCTTTTATGGCAGCATTTGGACTTGACTTCGTCTAAGGAGGAAACAACATCGCAGTGGGTATGACGACACATTCTAACATTAGTAACTGAAATTATGATGCTAACTGTTTATTGCCGTCAAGTCAGTTCTACCTCATAGTGACCCTACAGGGCAAAGTAGAACTGTCCGTGCGGTTTTTCTTTCTGGTAAATCTTTATGGGAGCAGAAAACCTCCAGAAGTGGGAATGGGGGTTTGAGCTGCCAGCTTGGTGGTGAGCAAGCAAATGTATGACCCGCTGTGTCACCAGGGACCGTTGATGAGGCTAAAGAAGCAGTGAAAATAAGGGTCTGAAGATAGGGCACAGAGGTCCTGGGAATAGCATGTTCTAAGGATGTGAAACTGGTTGAACATTAGATGCTACTGAGAGGTCAAGTAACAAGAGGACTGACGTGAGTCCAGTGGCTTTGCACAAGGGAAGCCACTGGTGCCCTTGGTGAGACTGGTGTCTTGGCTGGTGACTCTTGAAGTCTTGCTGTGGTGTGGGAGGGTGAGTAATCATGATTGCATGGCTGGGATGCTGTAAGCCACTCTCTGCTTAATTTTCAGTCTTCCCAGAGTTGAACGGTGCATACCCAAGAGGAAAGAGCAGTGCCTGGAGATAATTGATGTCATATCCACCCAGATAATTTGGCAGAGCGTGGACACCAGAGCTCCAGGCACTCAAAGCAATCAGCATCCTCCCAATTGTCATACTAAGTCCCGCTCTTGAGCCCCTGTGCCATGAGTTGCTCTTGTTCTCGTTGGCTCCAGCTCATGGTGACCAGTGCACCGTATAACAAAACTCTGCCTGCTCCTCCTCCATCTCTGCGACAGGTGACCAATCAGACAGTGTTCTGCTGTGACCCAAAGGGTTTTCACTGACTGATTTTTGGAAGAGATCCTAGTCCTTGCTTCCTACTCCACCTTAATCTGGACGTTCCACTGAAACATAGCAACAAGCAGGTGTCCACAGACAGATAGGTAGCAACTGCAGTTGAAGCTTTGCTTTGGTTGGGAATCACACCCAGGTTGGGAATCAGAGCCAGGTCTCCCATATGAAAGGCAAGAAGGATTGGGTCTCAGCTCACGTTTCACATCCCTGAATGCAAGTTATGCAAATAATTGATTCCCCATCAATTCAAGAACCTAAGACAACTAGGTAGATCTTTTATCTTGTGGTAGGTACATTATCTTTCATCGAAGTGTTAAGTGCCCTGTGTGTTCTGCAGAATTCTAAGATTTAGAAATGTTTTGATGGCGTTTGTTTTTCTATATGATGATATCTTTAAATTTGATAGTAGCCTAAAATATGTATATTTTTAAAGTCTTTTTCTGTTTAACTATAAAGCATGTTGAACCTGATGGATTCAGGCATTCTTATTTATAGGGCCACACAGTGTTTGCACGTGTGGGGTCCTTCTTTCTGAGAGTTCCTGGGTGGGCAGGAAAGTCATAGAGTTCTGAACTGGTGGCTTGTTTTCTGCTGTGGAATTACTGTTAAGGTATGAGGATTACTCAAGAAGGTGGTGGGGGGAAAGCTTTAAGATGATTGCCTTTAGTGATAGAAGGGAGCCCGGGCCGTGCAGTGTGGTTAAGCGTTTGACTGCTAACTGAAAGGCTGGTAGTTCGAACCCACCAGCTGCTCCATCGCAGAAAGATGTGGCAATGCACTTCCATGGAGATTTGATGATCTGAGTAGGCCCATGCTGCCAACTCTACAATCTCTAAATGTGTGGCATTAAAACCACTTAAAACAAGGCCCTGCTCATGAAGAAGCAGATTTATAATACATATTTAACATTTAGCTAATGTGGTATTTATGTTACATTCGTGTATTTTTAGTGCCTTCAGCATTTGTCATTGGTGACAAATATGCTTTGTAGCTGATCAAGAAGGCACATCTCAATGTCAAAGGAACTTTTTTCATAAGGCCATTGAAGTAGTCATTTATTACATCGCAAAGAAGTTCCAGACTCATTTAACATTTATTTCCATTTGCTAGTCAATTACCAGCTGTCAGAGCATATTAAGCACTGCAAATTTGAGTCAGAAGCTGTCACCCCTAAGTGTATGAACTCTTCCCTAATCACATAGTTAGTGATTTGTCCCATGAAAGACTGGTCGTAATTGCTGAGCTACATCTGTCTTCGTGATGGTGTAAAATGGCCACTGGCCGCCATTGCTGAAGTGCAGTAAATCCATGCAGATGCCAGAAAACAAAAGCACGCAGTCAGGAGGGTTTCCATTGATTTTAACTGGCTCTTCAGTGTTTCAAGACAGAAAAGTCAGCCGACTTTCAAAGCTTTTTTTAAAATCTTAGTCTGAAAAAAAACGCACTTTTTTCATTATTACTAGCTAATATTTATGGTGTGTCTATCCGGTGCCAGACACTGTGCTCACAGCTTCATATGAATTATTTTCCAAGCTTCCTAACAGCCCTGGTATTTTGTACTGAGCAAATGAAGGCTTCAAAAGAGCTTGAGGCACGTGTCACGCCATGGCAGAGTCGGCGGTGAAACACAAGAGCTGAGTCTGGAAACCTTTTGCCTGAACCAGTAGATGACACTGATAGGTGGCAGTTGACGTTTAGTTGGTGACAGATAGAGTAACGTTTTTTTCACTTGCCAAAAAGGGTGGAGTAGCCAGATAGTCACACTGGTTCGGAAACGCAGCTGCTTAGTGTCAGGCTCCATGCCTAGACTCAAGGCAAGAAGGCGGTAGGGGGAAGAGTTGGCCGCAGCCATATGCTATCTTCTATCCTGAAAGTCAAAGCTTATCTGTTGAACCTCATTTGGTAAACGTTCTTTCCTGTGGCTGCCCGCATCTGCAAGGGTGGGAGACAGTGGGTGAGAGAGAGTTGGCGGTGACTGATGGGCCAGCTTTGTGGGTCAAATGTGAGAGAAGCTACAGCCTCTAGTAGGAATCTTTCACATTCTCCCCAACAACTTTCTCTCTCTCTCTCTCTCTCTCTCTCTCTTTCTCTCTCTCTCAAGAGCTGCAATTCTTGAAGTAGCCAAGTGCTGGTGTATTCTTGCCTTGTTTCCTGGAATGTACTGTTCCCAGATATTAAAGGGAAGTTGTGGTTCAGTCATCCACACAGGACTCACTGGTTGCAACTAACAGAAATGAAGGCACAGCTAAGGAGAGAAGGGAATTTCAGTCATTTAATAATAATAATAATAATAAAAACTTTTACAGCACACTTATTCTATGCTGGGCAGCCTAGCAGGCTCTGGGGATCCATCCCGTGGACAAAGCAGTCCAAAATTGGATGCGAGGCTGTGTGGGAATGTCGTGGAACTCAGTGGTAGGCAGGACTGCAACAAGGGTTGAGATGCTGTCCGGAATCCAAACAGCTCCTCCCAGCCCGTCTCCTTTCTTTCTCTCATGATTAGCCTGCAGGGTGGGGAGAATATGGCCACTCCACATTGCCCGAGTTTGGGGCGTCTGTTTAAGCAACCAGCCCAGACGGAACTAGAATCTTGGAGGTCTGGTTCCAAATTCCTAGGCAAAAGAATGAAAGTGTTCTGAGTCTGGGAACCGTCTGACCCCTGTGGGGCATATAATAACAGGAGTCGTCGTAAGTAGAGGGGGGACCCTCAGAAAATTGCTAACTTCGCAAGACTTCCTGTTGTGACTTCCTGTCTCAGAGTGAATGGACGCTTTTCCAGACACCTTGCCTATCTTTGCCAAAGCTCCCTTGCCCCCACCCCCCAGCTGAGGTTTGAAAGTCCCCGCGCCCTTGAAGAGTACATTTGTTGGCCTATGACTACTCAATCCTTGAGTAGAGGTTATCGTGAACTTTCTCAAACATTGCTGCAGCCTAACCTATAGTCAGGAGCCCTGTGGGCACAAAGACTAACACGCCGCAGTGAACCAAAAGTTGATGGTTCAAATCCGCTAGTAGCTCCATGAAACAAAACCTGATCCTGTAAAGATTACAACCCAGGAAACTGGGGAGGGTCTTCTCTGTCCCTGAAGGTGACTATGAAGGTGGTAAGAATTCTCTGACACACACACACACACACACACACACACACACCCCACTCACACACACCCCTCCACCACCATCAAACCAGGATTTCTTCTCCTCCACACAGTCCTGTCATGGTCTCTTTGTGCACCACTCCCAGACCACAAGAGAAGGGACTCAGTTAATTGAAAGCTCCCATAGTCACTTCAAACCAAGCCACCCCTAAGTAGTTAGGTTCTAAAGTGCAGTTTGCAGTGAAGGGAAGGGTAGTTGCTTCCTTTATGGCTGTAATAAAACTCTAATGCCTACAAGAGACTTCAGTAGGGCCTTTTTCTCTTTTTAAATCCTTTCTTTCCAAACACAGGGTGTTTTTCCATTCAAGGATGAACTAGACGGCTGACCTTGTGGATCCTCTGTTTCTTGTGCAGGCTGCGGAGTCCGCTCTCAGTGGAGGAAGGTGGGCAGGATGGGGAACCTGGGGCAAATCTCTGCTCTCATCGGCGTCTGCCACAGTAGGTAAGCATTCATCGTTTTATTTATAAATGGATAAGGTCCAGAATCCTAGTAGGAAATAGGTGAATATTAACTGATGTGGTCATAAGGGCAAATCTTCTTCAATGAACGAAGATAGGAGGTCCTGATCGAAAGAATAACTCTATAAAGCAGCAGAGCCCTTTGGGGGCCGAACGACCCTGAGACCATGGGAAAACATATTTCCAAGGGTCTTAGCAACCGAGACACGGTCCCTTTATCCGTCTCCAGCCGGTCTGCCCACATGCAGATATGCTGATCTGGTGAGGAGGAAGCTATCGCAACCTTCACACTGACCGTTGGCTTTTTATGCATACTGTGGCAAAATGTAGCAATGCAGTTTACTGTTGGTATATTAAGACTGTTACCCATGCTACACCATGCTTCAAGACAAAATGTCAGCTATTTGTCATTAGAAATAAATATTTCACAATATATAATTACATATTGTTTTGTGATTAATCACTCTGCTTTATGTTCAGTGTGTAACAATGAAAATATATCCTGCATATCAGATATTTACATGATGATTCATAACAGTAGCAAAATGACAGTTATGAAGTAGCAATGAAAATAATGTTATGGTTGGGGGGGTCACCGCAACATGAGGAACTGTATTAAAGGTTCACTGCATTAGGAATGTTGAACACCACTGCTGTAATCCCACTAGATTTTTTTAAATGTACAACTCACCTATGCTCACTAACAGGATTTTAAAAGATTTCAATGAAAGGTATTTTATCAACAGCAACGAAAGAAAATAAATAAGAAGATGCTGGTAGGAAGGTCAAGGCTAATAGAATTATTGGAATTGAGCATGGAGCTTCATTCTGAGCTTTTTGCCTGCCAGTAGAGGATGACCTAGTTCTCAGTAATGGATAAAGCTTTGATTATTGTGATAATTTTTTCACTGATCTTAAAATTTTAGATAAATTTACAGCCACTCTTAACCAGTCAGAGACACTACAATGGACAACAGTGTAGTTTTTGTCAAAATATCATTAATGTAACCATTTCTTCTATCTATTCTTTATGGAAGTCGAGAACGTAACACCAACATACCAAAGATAAGTCGGCCAGTATATTTCATGCTGCAGAAGGGATAGGGAGAAGGGAGGAAGCAGCGACAGTAAGTTCGCTGTCAGATAATCTAACTAAAGTCTTCACAAGGTCTCAGCTGTGTCCCATGGCCCAAAAGATCCTGTCACGGACCACAAAGTGGTCCGACTCATTGTTATTCCCCAAGCCTAGGGGAATAGGACATCCAAGAGGTCGTTTGCCCCAGCCCAGTGGACCATGGTCATAACCAGATGTTCCCCTGGTAGAGCTTGGACTCCCTGGGAGCATGGATAGATTGCATTCCCCTCATTCAGTCTGCTCCAGGCAGTGGTAGAATTCTCACCCCCCATGCATGAGCGTGAGCTTCGAGCCGGCCAGTGCTTCTCGTGAGTAGTCACCCTCTGTCTGTCAATCAAGGCTTGTGTGTTAGTAAATCAACCTATGAAGACCCTACTGATCTCTGTGGTCTCACCTGCCACCGATTTTAGTGATGGCACAAGAGCAGGTAGCCTTTGCTCCATTGTGCGTGGGGTGATTCAAGGCCCCACTCAGTGACAGCTAACAACAAATGCCTTGTGTCGACTATCAATCTTCTCAGAAGGGCTCTGGCAGGAGCCGGAGAGTGGCCCAATCACTGTTGACCTCTTTGCTGAGTGCGTGTTCCAAAAACCATGATGGCTGCCAGAGAATCAATTCCAACTCTTAGAGACTCGGTAGAACAGAATAAAACTGCCCCTGTGGCTTTCTGAAGCTGTCAATATTTAGGGGAGCAGAAAGCTTGCTTCACCTTTCTACCTCTGACTGGCTAGTGGATTTGAGCTCCTAACATAACCGGTTATACCACCCAGGCTGGGAAACTAGATTTTGTCTATGGCTGACTGAAAGGACCAGGTATGCCTGATATACCACATATGCAGATGCCAAAATCAACCAGATTAACACCTAGGAGCCTCATCAGAGCCCTATGGGCAGAGTAGACGTGGCCATAGGGTTTCGGAGTCTTCATGGAAACAGATGACCACATCTCTCTCACGGAGCAGCTAATGTGCTTGAACTGCTGACCTTCCGATTGGCATCCAAGCACTTAACCACTGCACCACCAGGGCTCCTTGAGTTTAAAGTCCTCAAAACCGTTTATACCTTGAAATTAACTTCCTGCATATCCCATTTCCTGTGGTGAGAAATGCATCTGATAGCATTAACTGGCAAACAAGTGCTCTGGGTGGAATTCCTGGATGGACTTCTGCGTGGATTCTGGAAATTGGGACATTCCTGCCTGATGGTGTTCCTGTCCAGGCCTCAGCCTCTATTATCTTTCCTAATTATTGGGCCCTTACTAAAAAGCATAGTGGTTACTCATTGGGCTGCTAACGGAAAGGTCAACAGTTCGAAACCACCTGCTGCTCCACAGGAGAAACAGGAAGCTTCCTATTTCCATAAAGAGTTACAGTCTCGGTAACTCACAGAGGCAGTCCTACCCTGTCCTGTAGGAAGGGTCACTGTGAGTCAGAATTGACTCGATGGCAGTGAGTGTGGTTTTTGGTTTACGACGCATTACTTTGAGGGTTAAGGCGAGCCTGACCCAAGCCATCGTATTTTCAATTGCTTCATATGTATGTGAAAGTTAGACATTGACTAGGAAATAGTGAAGAATAATTGGTGCTTTTGAATTGTGGTTCTGGAGAGAAAACTATTGAAAGTACCATGGGCTGCCAGAAGGACAAACAAATTTGCCTTGGAAGAAGTACAGCCAGAGTGCTCCTTAGAGGCAAGGATGGCGAGACCTCATCTTAGGTACTTTGGACACGTTGTCAGGAGAGACCAGTCCCTGCCTAGAGAAGGACAGCGTGCTGGGTAAAGTAGAAGGGCAACGAACAAGAAGGCCCTGAAGGAGACGGAGTGACACAGCGGCTTCCACAGTGGGCGCAGGCATAGGAACCATTGTGAGGATGGCACCGGGCTGCACGGGGTTCATTCTGTGTGCTGGGACCGGGCTCGGTGGCACCTCACAGCAACAGTAAACCTTAAAGAGCCCTGCCGGCATGGTGATGAAGTGTTCGGCTGCTCACTGAAAGGTTGGCAGTTTGAACCCACCAGCTGCTCCACAGGCGATCTGCTGGATGTACCATCCGTTGCCATGGAATCCCTTCCAACATGAAGACTCCCCGATGCACCCACAGGGTTTCCAGTGACTGTTCCTGGAAGTAGATCACCAGGCCTTTCTGCCAGGCACCTCTGACTGGATGTGAATCGTTTTTTAAGTGAGCAGCCGAGTGCGTGAACCCCCTGTACCACCCGAGGACTGCATTGAGTAGGTGTGCTGCTGCTGCTGTTGTCATCGACCTTTGAGTCATCCCTGACATTGGTAACCTGAAGAACAGCGGGACAAAGGCTGCCTAGCCCTGCACCAGCCTCCCCAGCCTCATCCTCGTGATCCGTTACAGAGCAGACCATAGGCTTCCGAACTTCGTTGACCAACCAACCCCCTTTCAGAAAAAGATTTGATCAGTGCTTTCCTGTCAATGAAAACCATTTGTACTATAGCCCATAATCCAGGATATCCAGCCCCCCTGGATCATGCCAGTGCCCCCAGGGGGTGGTACTGCCCACTTTGGGAAACACTGGGCCAGACCAGGACAATCAGTGGCATTGTCATTGAGTATCCCCAGGCCTTTCACAACAGTCTACCTCCATCTGGGAGCCCTGCCCACCATCATAGCAGGACTCAGGCCCTCACTGGCAGCTGGGCAGGAGGTGCAACGGTTCGGAACCAAACTTGAGTCTTCCTCTTAAAACCAAACCAAACTCACTGCAGTGGAGTTGATTGCGACCCCTAATGATCCTATAGGACAGGGAAGAACTGCCCCTGTGGGTTTCAGAGATGGTAACTCTTTGTGGGAGTAGAAAGCCTCATCTTCCTCCCGTGGTGGTTTTGAACTGCTGATCTTGCCGTTAACAGCTCAATACATAACCCATGACCAATGGGCCACCACTGTCCCCGTGGGCCAGTATAACCAAACCATACTCACAGTCACTGAGTCGATGCTGACTCATAGTGACCCCTGTAGAACAGGGTGGAACTGCCCTGTGAGTTTCTGAGACTAACTCTTGGCGAGAATAGAAAAGACCCATCCTTCTCCTGTGGAGCAGCTAGTGGTTTCAAACTGCTGACCTTGCAGTTAGCAGGCCAGCTTCTAACCACTCTGCTACCAGGGCTCCTTTTGGGTCAGTATCGTCTATACTTATTATCCCCATTTTTCACAGAGGGTGGCATGCAGAACAGACCCTAAATTACACCTCTGGCCACGAGGGAGCCGGGACCTGAGCCCAGGCGACCTCACACCAGGCCTGTGTCTCTCTAACCCTTGGGAAATACTTTCACTCTGTAGTGCTACTTCAGCACTTGGGATCCGGCTTGCTTCCTAAATAAAAAACTAACCCTCTGCCGTCTCAAGCACTTCAAAACTGGCATAGGTCATGGAAAAGCAAATGATGGGCTTGCCATCATTGGACAGCCTCCTCATGCCCCATGTCTCAACACGGGCAGATGTTCTGGGTGCTTCCAGTAATGCCACTGTTAGGTGCTTGTTGGGTCACCCTCTCTGTGCACAGCTGAACGAAGCACTGCCCAGTCCTGCACCATCCTCACAATGCTGTGTGGAGCCCATTGTGGCAGCCACCATGCTGATCCTTCTCCTGGAGCTTCTTCCCCTGCTTCTCCTACCCTCTACCCAGCGTGATGCCCTTTTCCAGTTACAATGGCATGCAACGAGCACCCAGTTCCGTTTGTACTGAATTCGGTGCACCAGCAGGTTCTAGGATGGGCAGAGGATTGGCTTTCTTATTAAACTTTCATGGTAAGTTCTTTCCACAGTAAACACAGAACTCACTGGAGCGTTTTTGTGCCTGGGAGTGTTCTCCTTCTG